GTGTCCACAATAGACACCTGTCTGAAAGAATTTAGCTAGCATTAAAGCCTATGCTGGATAACATCGATTACACCACAATTGCCCCCCTCCAACAAAGACTAGTGTAATTCCTAATTAGATAAGTTTATTTCATATAACATAATATAAATAAATTGTGCTCGAAACACCATTCAATTATCAATAGTGTACGTTTTGAAAAATGAACATATCTAGTATCAAATTACATTCTACCAGAGTGGAAAAAGTTCTGTACTTAACACTAAAGACGAGTCTATCAGCAAAAACCGTGTGACTCTGATTCACTTTTTCCTCTGTATCCTACTCCAAGTAAATGCTGATTTCCTGTGGATTTATTTATGAGACTGATTAATTTCACTTGTGAGCTGACAGTCTGGTAGAAATATTATCTGCCTGAAAGCAATTAGACGCCGAATTAAACACTGAGTGTTATTTACCATGTCAAATGAAAAGGACTATATCGGTAATCCAATTGTCATCAATTTAAACCGTCAGGGGCAGTATATAGTATATTTATATTGGTTTGTTTATTAAATATATCACACAGTGAGTGAAACAGTATTATGATTCACTGGATGACAATGTTTCGAACACAATTTATTGTTTATACTGTTTATATCGCCAATTATAATCACATGACTTCGAAACTCAACTTACATAGTTTTCTTTGTCCTCTCCTATTTGTCGTCGGTTGGGTAGTAGAATTTTACAGATAAATGGGTGTATAGGTGTTGAAACATTCCTATTACACGTGTTTGCAGTTGATTCGATAAACAAAGCTTCTGTTATCAATCTTTTCCTCTCACCACCCTGTGAGTGGGTGTCATCTTATCCCATTCATCCTATTGTATGGTTGTGTGTAATTGCATATAGTGAGTGGTATAGCTGAACTATCCTCTAGATTTCTTATCTTATTCGAGTCAGCTAATCTAGATTTTGCTAGGTTTTATGTTCGGCTAATTTGACTACGCCTGTTCTATTACTTTGACCTATGTATTATCACTATTATTATTATAACTATCACTATCACTAGTACCATAATAATAATAATAAGAAGAAGAAGAAGAATAGCTGTATTAATAATTGTAATACTAATGACGACACGCATGTCAAACATGCTCACGATAATGACGACACTGACAATAAGGAATCCAAATCATCAGTTATAATTCCATAAAAGGAAGGAAACTGGGAAACCTTACGCAGGATTCTCGACAAGGCAGGAACAAAAGTGGCTGGCATTCAACTACCCACAAACTCAATTAGAAACAAGTTTTGTCGGTTAAAGGATCAACCTTGTGGAGCCAATTAAACAAAACAATTTAGTTTGTCTAATAAATACCCTGCTGGAATGATTGTTAGGTCAAATACATAGGTCAAACTAGTAGAACAGAAGCAGCCAGACTAGCCGAACATAAAGACCTAGCAACAAAGGCTAGATTAGTTGACTCTTATAAAGTAAGAAATCTAGAGAATAGTTCAGTCATAGCACTCACTAAACGCATAATTATACATAACCATAAAATAGGATGGATGGGATAACATGAGAGTTTGAAAATCTAATATCACAGAGTGGAGGGAGAGGTTGATAACAGAAGCTTTGTTTATCGAATCAGCTGAGAAAGAATATGAGTAATAGGAATGATTCAACACCTGTCCACTCAGATATCTGGAAAATTCAACTACCCCAAAGATGACGAATAGGAGAGGACAAAGGGAACTATAAAACTCAAGTTTCGAAGTCGTGTGATTATAATCGGTGATATGATTATGAACAATAAATTTTGTACGAAACATTGTTATCCAGTCAATGATAATAATACTGTTTCACTTACTGCGTGATATATCTAGTAAACAAACTAACATGGAATTACTTACTACCACATTTCCAAAGTTTTACACATATATTTATAGTATCTTCAGCTTTTCCAAAGCAACAGTACAGTAATCTACTGGATTTTGTTCTTAAGAGAAAACTCCGTTGCATTTGATTTGTTGCGTATCTGCTGAAACGCAAATGCTACAAGTCGAAACCAAAAGTTGCCAGAATAACTTCACTGCACTGTGATACTTGACTGACAGTAGACTGTTTATGCACAAATCAAAGTTAACCGGACAAAAGCAAAAATTAAACCTCTAGTTTAAAGTCAAATTCGACGACGTAAACAAAAATTGTCCCATGCTGATGAACGACGATTAAGTTGTAATATATATATGCTGAGATTTTGTAAATTCTTATTTATTATCTGTTTTATTCATTTACGTTCCCAGTGCTGGAACATGGGGAGGTTTCAGCCTTGAGTTTTGAAGTTTCTGTAGCAGCGGTGTTTATTTTCACGGGATTGGGTTGCTAGCCTTGTGGCCTCTTTACAAGTCTTACTACCGGCTAAGCGAGGTAAAGGAGTGCGTCGGTGGCCGGGGATCGAACCCGGAACTACGTGAGGCATGGCTGGCAAACATTCTACCGCTGTGTCACCGACGCACTTTGTAAATTCCGTCTTAATAATATCACTCTGATAAAGCTATTAGCATTAAATAACGAAATGTAAGTAAAAACAACAATATTGTTTTGTTTTTTCATTCATTGGGTAATGCAAAAACAACTTTTATAATAATCTAACAACATAAAGGTGTAATGAAATTACACCTAACAAAATATTTGTTAATAGAATCTGCTTGTTGGCAATTTCCTGTGTTTATTAAACACACACTAAGTCAGTTGTTTACAAAACGAATTCATAGATGACCTAATTAGAAATTAACAATTTTAACACTATAAATAGACCATGAACCGATTTTTCGTGATAGGCAAATTAAACTAAGCGGAAACAGATATTGCAGATGTGAGACTTTATTTTACTGTACACTACGCTTTAATTGAAACTTTTTACGTGTTGTGCGTCGGTTGCTTACCACCACGCCCAGGGTTCGATCCCCAGCCAGTGCACAATTTCACCTGTCTTAGCCAGTAATAAGATCACTGAAAAGGGAAAATTGGGCATAAGATTGAGAGGTGCCAACCAGGTGGCCTGCTTAAAACTTGAACTGCCAAGACACTTCCATCTGTCTGTTGCATATATTTCCTCTCGTTTGGTTTGTTTTAATTTGGTTAAGATATGATCTCTATTGGTATTATCTACTCTTGTGTGAATTTAAAATCTTTACAAGCTTGTGTTTGATTTGCAAGTTCCTACTAGACTTGAGGGAAGGCCTGATTCTGGGTGGCAATGTGTTCCAACACATAAGATAACTGTTCTTCACTTGTGTCATTGGATCTCAAAATGTTCTTCTGGACATCTTAAAATCGACTTTCAACTAGATATATATCGTGGATTTCTTTAAGAAGGCAAAGTAGATATATCAGCATAATGGAATGGTTTGTGCTTCAGCTCAGAGAACATTGTGTCACGGGAAGGATATACTGTCATCAATTAATTAATATTTGAAAGAGGTTACTTCATTCACTTATCTAGGGAGCATTGTCTCAACTACAGGAGGAACGGAGGGACGAGGATGTCTAATCCAGAATCGGGAAGGCGACAAACACATTCATCAACCTGAAACCAATCTGGAAATCTTCGTCACTCAACTCAGCATCAACAACAAAATGATTCGGATTTTCAATACAAACGTCAAGTCAGCCAGTTCTTCTATACGGATCAGAAACTTGGCGGGTCACCAAGAATATTTCCAACAGCCTGTTGCAGACCTTTATCAACATCAACTGTCTTCGTTCTATACTGAAGATCAGATGGCCGGAAAGAATCACCAACAAGAAACTATGGGAACAAACAAAACAAGAACCGATCGCTCAACAAATATGCAGGAGAAAGGGGAGATGGATTGGACACTCGCTGAGGAGGCGGCTGGGTGACATCGCACGTCAGGCCATCACTCTAGTGGAACCTGAAAGGGAAGCGGTGAGTGGGACGTCCAAGTGTGGGTGACATGGAGGAGATCGTGTGAAGAAGAGTTGAAACAGTATGGATTAACATGGACGCAGGTGAAAAGTATAGGAGAAGACAGAAGCAAATGGAGACGTGTAGTTGAAGTCCTATGTTCCTCTAGGAACCCAAGGGAACAATAATAATAATTAATATTTCACCTGAAGAAATCGCACGAAGGGGGAACAAATATCATGCAATAAACTCCTCTGAAAATTCTGTACATTTTGTAAATACTGTCTAGAATACAGAGGCTATTACTGCAATTAACCCCACCCTTTAAAAATAAACACCACTGCTACCGAAACTTCAAGCCTCTAGCCTGAAGCCCGCCTATGTTCCACTGTAAACTTAAAGGAATAAAATAGTAACTAATTTTTAATTACGCATTGAGAAGCCATAAATTCCACCTAAAAGTAGACTGAATGCTGCTGTTTTCTTAAGAATACCACTGTAGACAACAATCTGAAAGTCATTCTTATATTTTTCAAAGTATCCTACTAATGATAACATTATTGCCAATATCGATAGGAGAAAGGATGACATTGGTAGCTGCATCAACATCATTATACTAATATCAAACGAGAAAACAAAGTAAGAAGCAGTGTAGTGTCACTTCCAATTCTGTAACAAAAATGTAAGTTTTGTGGGAAGATTCCGTTGAGTAACGAGACAAGTACGGCCGAAACAAGATTTTTTAAAATTTTTTATTCTTTCACGTTCCCAGTGGAATACAGGGAGGCTGCAAGCTAGAGGGTTGAAGTTTCGGTAGCAGTGGTGCTTACTTTTACGGAATGAGATTGCCAGCCTCATATCCGACCTTTCCTCTTTACCAGTCTCAGTACTGGCTTAGCGACGTAAAGGAGGAATCGAACTCTGGACTACATGCGTGGTTGGTGAGCATTCTACGGCTGATCCACTGATGCTAAAGCCAAGCATACATTATTAATATTATTATGATTATCATACACCAATGAAAACTAACATACGAAAATGAGAACAAATTTTAGAAGATAGAAGAAAATCAACTTAACTTACCAACAGTACCAAATGAAGATAATTGTCAGTAGGATAACTAAGAGTGTAACAAATAAGCCAACTATTAAACCGATTGTCGCAGAATAGAATCCTAGAATAAAAACAGAAAAGAGGATAGACAAGGATTAAAGTATTTACAAATAAAAAAAGTGAAAAACTGAGGGGAATTGTTGTTTACAATCAATATACGTTAAGCGAATATTTTCAATATCTTAATACTCATACTGGACATGCTGTGTTGAATGAAGTTTGGTGAATACAGATTTATCAATCGTTTGTACAAAGTTCACTATTTTATCGCTCTTTAACATATATATATATATATATATATATGTCACATTTGGGAGATAATTGTTTTGAGAAGGAGAACGAATTCGAATCATGTTGCATATAAAGTGATCGTAATGGTGACATTCTTCAGCTACACAAGCAGGGAGTTTCATCTAATCGAAGAATTAGGGAAAACGAATGGAAACACTCAATATTCTTTTGAAGCATAGTCTATCAGTATCGAAGTGATCAATATGTCTATGAGAGGTTTACGCTATTAGAAATTATCCAGTCACAATCGTTGTAAGACATGGCCGTTGGAAATGGAAGACATGAAAAGCCCGACTAGCTGTCCTTGATCATAGGTGTCTGCGTTCTATCTCCCGTGTATGTTAGGTAGTATAACAGGGTGAGTGGTATTAAGGTTAGGCTTCAGTTGAGTGCTAGGCAAGGAGGGGAGGGGAAATCAATCGACGAAGTAGTGCAGTTTCACCGATTGAGGGAGATAGTAAAGACATGTGTTATGCACACTATCCTATCCATCGCCTTCCTCGGTGGGCGATGTTAGAACTTCGCACATCTGTGTAAAGTTATATGCTGGAACAAGTCAGTCAGTCAATCCACAAATTGGTGGACCGATGTAGAATTTTATGGAACAGACACACTTTGGAGAGGCTGTTGAGTGACATTGCACTCCTGGCCATTGAGAGTGGAAGACATGAAAAGATTAGCTGTCTTTGATCATAGATGCCTGCGTTCTATCTCCCGTATGAAGTGGTATAATAAGGTGAGCAATATCGAGGTGAGGCCTCGGTCGAGTGCTAGGTAAGGAGGGATAGGAAATCAATCGACGAGGCTGTGAAATTACATCGACTGAGATGGTTAAGACATGTGTTACGTATGCCTAGTCATCGACTTCCTCGACTACGAGCAATGTTAGCTGATATAGGGTCAGGCTAGAAAAGACCTAGCGGCGGTCAAACAGAAACATGGCTTCATTAGTCAATGAAATCGACAACACTTAGTTTCAACTAGCCATGTAGGAGGGTGTGGACTTCCTGGTTGAGGTCCTCGGGACGGTACAAACCAATGGTTGGAAACAATTGGTGACATGGCTCAAAGTGATCGTTCTCAATGGCTGGCTGGCGCAGATGCATCCACTCCTTGTGACTTATGATTTCCAATGAAACTGTTTTGTTCTTCGTTATTACTATTCCTTTGTCTCACACCTCTGTTTATTGTCTCTAATATGCATTTCTCCTACTTTCTTCTCTTGCTTTGAGTGCTACAAGGAGGGAGTGTGGCGACTTGAACTGCCACACGTTGGTGCAAAGTTCTTTATCGAAAACAGACAGACAGGTTTTGCGCTCCAAGCACTCAAGAAGGATCCTAACTAGAAAACAACTGGTTAGGCATCCACGAATGACATGTGGGAGATGAAAGCACATAGGTTATTGTAGATCCATCTAAAAAAGGACAGCAGAGAACTCAGCGAAGTGAAGATATGCTATAGAATGTCTATGTTCCACCCGAAATCCAAGGGAATAGTAATTCTCAAAACACAGGAAAAATAAATAGAAAAGAAGAAGTAATAAATAAACTGAGACTTAAGAAGATGCAAGTCAAAATCTCAGCTAAAGATCAGCGAATAAATTGACACCAAAACTGAAAGGTACTCACGAAATTTAGCTCAAGTGTTAACTGTCACGAAAACAACCTCATCTACTTTAAAGTGTACCAATTAGAGTTAATCGATCCTAATGTGTTGATTGCCGGTGGAATCTGGAAGGCGTAAGTAGAAGATATGTGACTCGTACATAATTAGAGGGCAAAACGTAGAGGACAAAACATTCCTGTGTATTGTGTCGCGCTGATCAAGGATAGATCTTTCCACTGTCAGAATACTGCTTTAACCGTCACTCATGATTATTAAAAAGATGAAGTTGACAAAATCTATCCCTTGAACGAAGTTTATGCCCATATATATATATATATATTCATTTGGTGCGAAAACACTTAGTCAGCAGTTTTTCTTAAGTAAGTGTAAGTAACTTCATTGTATATTAGCGATGATATACAGAAGAACTTATGGTTTTAAAGCATTTGTTTGGTTTCAAGTTTGTTGACGAACTGACGAGGACACTTGGCAAAATGTTGAAAGCCAAGGAGTATTTGGTAGCTGTTTTGTCCTAGCTTGGGACTCCTCAACAGCTTGCACTCATTACCCCATGGATAATCTAACCAGGTACCTTCACATCATAATGACTGCGTTTGCCACCCTATACTAGGCAGCAAGTCGCAGTCATTATATGAGGCTGCAATAATGTCTAACTATGTAGTAGGAATAACTACGACTTATGGAGATGGAGGGCTGTTCACTCCCGGACATTATTTCACTAAGATCTAATATAAAAAATCAATGTTTATGAAAATGAAGAGCTTGAAAGATTGAAGTACAACTTCCAAAAGATATATATATATTTATCCTAAAGTACTTCAAAAGTACTATAGCATGTTTACTCAGGTATATATGTTGATGAGAAAACCTAAAAGCTAGGTAACAAACAGGTTATTCGGGTATTGTTAAAATTATTTGCAACATTCAACCGAATCGAAGAAAAAAGGACAATACCATGTACAAATAAGTTATGCTTTTTTTTCAATTGTACAAGTAGATAATTTGCTAATTCAAACATGTTAGTCCATTTTTTTAAGAGATCAATAGAGGAACTATGCTAGTGTTGTATCCATGTTTAAGTACAAATATAGGATAATATACACACAGAAGGTTATCACCTTGGAAACAGTATTTTTTTAAAATAATAAAAGAACACCTCAATAATAGCAAATAAACTGAAGATGGAGAAGAAGAAGAACAAGAATAGTTTTATTTCCTATTTAGCACTCAGATATTTATATTTGAGGTGTTTAAAGGAAATAGAATCAGTGAACTGGATATTTCTCCATAAAATTCTTCTAAAAACACGCATTACTTCTTTATTACCAGTTTGCAGTTGTTGTCAGTGCCAGTTGTTTATATTTTTTGCTTCAACATTTGAGTGATGACAATAGAAAGTCAAGGTGTCATGGAAAATAGATATCTTAATCAGGACTATTCAGCAACTTCAACTTTGTCAACTAGCCGACAGATTTGAATTTTGTGCGTAGTGATTCTAATAATTTTGTACTTCAGTAAGCAGCTGTTCAATACTTTTCGGTTTACAGTACTGTCAACACAGTGACCTGCTTGAATCAACGGCCTGCCTAAATCCCTATCTAACACATTAATGAAATTACTCCTCTGGGTAGCCAAATGCCATAAGGGATTAACTTATTCTTCAGAACGAACAGCACTGAGTCATACGATATACTTTGGATTTGTTTTTCACTTGAAGATCCTGGATAAAGAGTAAATGTTATGCAATAATTTTTTTATTCCTTCACGTTCCTAGTGGAACATAGGGAGGCTTCAAGCTAGAGGCTTGAAGTTTCGGTAGCAGTGGTGATTATTTTTACAGGATGGGGTCGCTAGCCTCATGTCCAAACTTTCCTCTCTACCAGCTTTATTTCTGGCTAAGCGGGGTAAAGCAGTGAGTCGGTGGCCGAAGATCGAACCCCGGACCATGTGCATGGTCGGCGAGCGTCCTAACCGCTATGCCACCGACGCACGTTCTACAACAAACTAAGCCCAAAATCTCGTTTTTATGTAAACTTCACTTGCAGAATGAGGCTGTTATTAGTGTAGTATTTTTGAAGAAAATCAGTTTGACATTGTCAGTCAGCTCACTATAAACCTGCCAACTAAATATTACACATTCGTAGTTCCAAACGCCGTTACGCTTTCCATTAGACTATAATAAATTACATTACATACACACAAGTACCCATGAATCCGATGTAGGAAGTCAGCTAATTAATACAATGTTTGAATAGATAGGTTATCTTTCTTCCTTGTTATTCAAATTATCTTGTTCCACATACACTAAACACCTGTTGGAAATAATAATCTTTAAAAAATCTACAATTAACTTCCAGGTGATCTATTTTAAACTTTTTCTAAATTGTGAACGCTTCTTTGTCTATTTTGCAAAGCTTAACTTGCATAACTTTCTCTTGATGCGGTATTATTTATCTACGATGTGAAAAGATGATCAAGTTATGCGAAGATGTGAAGAAAGTAAGTAAGCTAGTGGGAAGGCCTTATAACACTCTGTGTCTATCATTTTTCTGAAAGTGGTTTTTACAAGAGAAAACCCTTTTTTCATACACTTACTCCTCTCAATGAATTTGAATAAAGCAAAAACAACAACAACAGTGGTTTTCGCAGAATAACATGGTATCATCATGGCTTATTTCGTTGGCTTTTCATCAGCTCAGCTGCTTACACACCAAAGTCATTATTATTAAGTATAGATACAAAAACAGTATTAACATACTTGTACAGAGTTCATTTTTAAGCAAAAGTCAATCCATCACTATATGCATACAATAATAATAAGTATATATTATAATGATAAACAATAATAATAATATACACACTTTCACAGCTTCGTTCCTGTCAATTACAAAAGAAATTTAGTGAAGACCCTTAGCCACAGAGTTAGACCTATATGCTCAGAAGAAGTAATTGAAGATGAATTAAGCATTGTATGTGATACTTTGATCGAAAATGGTTATCCCGACAAATTTATCAAGAAACACATGACAAAGAAAGCGGAAAAGGACTACTCACTGTCTGTAAACAAGAAGCCTCTTTATATACGACGGCAATTAATGGGCGATATGCCAAGCGAGATAATTACGAAGAAATTAAGAGAATCA